AGAGAGGGTCAGGAAGCTGTTCATAGCTTTGTACCCCAGACAGATTCACCCGGCAGCAGGCACTGAGTTTGGGTGGGTTTTAGCTGCCTTGCAGCCGGGACTGGCTCTTGCCAAGGGGTATCAGCTGGGCCCTGTGCTGAAGGAAAAGCTCAGACCAGGGCTGCAGATAGAGCCAGAGCTGGCATCTACACTGTTAAATCATCTGGCAGTGGGAGCAGGCAGGAGGTGAGCTCGAGGATGCACACACATCCCTGTGCTCAGTTAACCTCAGCATGCAGATGTGCCAGGAGCACCTTTACTATCCTTGTCACCTATAGTGTGGTCCTGCTTTCAGCAGTTCCCACATGGACTGTGCCATGTGAAGGGAAGCACAACGTTCCCCCAGCTCTTCCCCTGTGGCAGGGGGTTGGACCTGGATGATCTTTAAGGTCCCTTCCAACCCAAACCAGTCTGTGGTCTGCCCCCAAGCCCCAAGGATGACAGCCCCCCAGTGTGTCCCTGCAGCTCAGGTCCTTCTCCAGCTACCACTGGTGCAGCAGGTAGAGCTGATGCTGCGGGCAGAGTAGCACTGGCTGTTGCCTACACACTGACAAGAGAGCACAACTGATGCCAACAATGCACTCTGTGTGTGGCTTCTCTACATACAGGAGTAGTAGCCTGTAATAACTAAGCATTACTTCACGTATCTTAGCTTAATGATAATGACAGCAAAAAAAAAAAGACAAAAAATGAGGGGTTTATTATTATGCCTCCTCTTCTGCGTGTTTTAAACCCGAAACCTGAACCATGGCTACAAGCATCCTGATCATTACAAGTTACCCGAGTTTATTGTTTTATTCTATCCTGTCAGAAGATCAAGGCCTGGATTACATGGCAATCATGGACATAAAACATACACCAAAAGCAGAGGGAATAGTGCTTGTGTTACATACCATTTCACTTGTTTTCTACTCATCACCAGTCTCATGAGGAAATGAGATAGACAAAAGAGAAGAAGTTCCCTCCTCCAACAATCAGGTCTGAACACACAGATCAGACAGTCAAGATTAGCACCCCTAAAGCACTAACAGTGGCCAGCAGGCATTAGGCTGGGGAGCATTACACCTCATTTCCTCTCCTCCCTTATCTGCTCATTTCAAAACCAGCATCAGAAAATGGGACACATTCTGCCCAGGTTGCCATGATCCAGGAAGACAAACACAGGCTGACAAATAGGAAACAGCACTCGGCTCAGGCGGGAGCCAAGGTCGCGTTTGTGTTGACACAGTGAAAATGGGCTGGAGTCACAGCAGCTTCTCCTGTGTGAGATCTGTAGGGAGTTCTGGTCACCCCAGCACCACCAGCCAAATGTGACAGCACCTGGCTGGCTGCAGAGCTCAGCGTGCCACCGGGACCCTCTGCAGTCACTCGGGCTCCCCATGGGTGCCTGGTTCACTCTGCTTCAGCAGCTGGAGATCATCCCACACTCCTACCCCAACCCAGCTGGGTTTAAAGCCCAGCTTGAACTACTCTACCAGGGCAAGAAGGGCTTGCATAATGGATATGAAAGTCTTCTGCAGCCTCTCCACCCTGGCTGCTCTGAGCAGGGCTGGTGATTACCCAGGCACAGACACCCTGCGACCACAGGTTCATACCTCCGTGCGTGCTTCCCTGTGGCACTCATTGCACAAGCAGAGGTTTTTCCTTCACAAATTTCCTTCCCCTTCACTGAAAGGATCAAAGAGAGTCCAGCAGACCTGAGCTAAACCAAATGTTACCCCCCTCCCCCCCCATTTCATTTTCCCCTTTGTTAAATAATGCAATTGTCCCGGAAAGGGTCCTGACAGCCAGCCCTGGCACACAAGCTGTCCTCCAAAGAGCAGGGAAGCACAGTGGGAATGCTGGGGCAGCATGCAGCCACAGTAAATAACCCTGAGCTGTTTTGTTCCTTCAGCAAATAAATGATTAATAGCTCAGTGCAGTCACTCTGCTATTCACTCGGAGAACTTTTGATCAGTTTGATTCATTAACCTTTAAAACTGCCTCAAAGAGAGGATGCAAATCCAAAGGAGAAGCATCAGTTTGAAATGAACACTTGAATTTTATCAAATAATCTTCACTTTAGACAAGTATTGAGACGCTTTGCTCCTCTTTAGAGGCTCTGAGCATTGCACAGTCAGGTGTCAAGAAATAACAAGGGAGAATAAAGTTGATGTAGATAAACAAACCTATTGCATCTTAACATTCCAGCCCGAAGAGGGCTGGGGGCAGAAAATGGCACATTGTGGTTCTGCAGCATCTGGCTGATTTGCAGGTGGCTTCCAACTGTCTCTTTCTTCTTTTGGTTTTAATGCTGCTAAAAAAGGGACACAACCAGGGGACTCCAAGCCCCACACAAAGCACTGGGGGGAGGGCAGGCAGTGGAACTTCTGTATCCGAAAAGTCTGTCTCAGACAAATTACTTCTAGTTCACTTCCTTACTACACGCCCGCATTGTTCCAACACCTTGGTAGCATAAGGGGTTCATCCCCAGCTATCTGGTCCCAGAACCAGCAATGCAGACTAATGCTATTAAAGAACTGTTCCAATTACTTCCCTGGGGAATGAAGTGACTTGAAGCTTAACGTCCTGCCCCAGCACAGCAGGAAAACCAACCGTCCACAAAGGCGCTGCTAATGGCTCTGCTGCTCCACGGACCTGCTCTGGGATGAGCTGCAGTTTGTCTTCCAGGGCCAGCAGCTGCTTCCTGGAGCACAAGTACAGATGGTTGGAGGCTCAGGCACAATTTGCTTTGAGAGTGAGGTTGGGGGATAGATTCCCCAAGAGAAAAAGAGGGTTTTGAACACGGACAACTGACAGCCACTGCTGCCAGGTGGATACCAGAAACTTGCTCTGGGCTTGTTTGTACTTTCTAGAGTGGACAGAGCTACTACGTAGTGTAAAAAGAACAGGATAAGCCACTTGCCCTTCCTGTGGCCAGAAAAGTGCTTCCCAAGCAGCCACATGGCTGCAGTGGTAGAACTACTTAGCAGAGGAAAATGATTTTGCCTCTAAGGGACTCACAAGCGTTTTTCAGAGGCAGGAATGACAGCTGTACATTAAAGAGGTTAAACCCTCCTTCCAGCCACACACTCACACAACCAGCCTGCACCATCTCCTGCTACAGTAATTACACACGCTGAAGGATTTGGGAGCCTAAATAGTTGTAGGGAGAAATTCTCAAGCCATAGCTGTCAGATCATGGAAGAGTTCTTTGAAATCCCACCACAGCTTAAAGGAATTGGCAATATCAGAACACTGACATTCTCATTTGGGACAATATTGAGGCTTCTGACATAAAAAGAGAGCGCTGCACTGTGCTGCTTCCGACACCCAGAGTGGTGCGAAGAAAGATCGGATGTTAGGCTGTATATAAGGCAGAAGTTCTTCCCTGTGAGGGTGCCGAGGTGCTGGCACAGGGCGCCCAGAGGAGTTGTGGCTGCCCCATCCCTGGTAGAGTTCAAAGCCAGGTTGGACACAGGGGCTTGGAGCAAGCTGCTCTAGTGGAAGGTATCCCTGCCCGTGGCAGGGGTTGGAACTGGGTGAACTTTAAGGTCCCTTCCAACCCAAACCATTCCATGATTCCATGTTTATAAAGAAATCAGACCTTCAGTTTCAGTACTTTTTCTGGACTTGAATCTTTAAGCTTATCTACACCAAGCAAACTATCCAACTACAATGAAACAAACCCAGTTCCTAATGTAAGCTTTCTATTATTATAAGCTTTCTATTGCTTTCCTGGGGTCTAGCTTAAATGCGGATAAGTGTTCAAGTGCTCAGCACGGGGCATAAAAGCAGGTGAAGTTAAAAGTTGAAGATGCCCCAGACAGTTGTTAGGGCAAACACTATCTTGTCTTTTGGGCACCAAGCACATCATGAGCACAAAGTAGCTTCCGTCTCTACACTGTGAGATCTCACAGTGGATGTAGCTGGGACTCAGGGTTAGGTTCAGCTCAAGAAGACTCTACTCCTACTCCAGCTGAGCCATTCAGGATGCAATTCAATCTCAAACATCATAGCACCAGGCAACGGGAAGGGGAATATTTCAACTTCTCTCTTGCTGACACAGAGAGTGGAAAAAACAGAGAGCAAAGCAGCACTCAGAATAGATGTAACAGTAATAAAAGAGCTTAGGACAAGGAAAAATGACTTAAGAGGAAATGGAAAAGTTTCCACTCGGAAGCTACCTGAACTTAAAAGGTATCACATTTCAGTCACACCACTGAACACAACCAATTGCTACAGCCTGGAGGGTACAGAGACTGCAAAAGATGATGAACAGCATCAGTGGGATGATGAAATGCCGTGGCCAGGTCAGGATGGAAAAGCGGATGGGTAGGGAGACAGCAAACAAAACAGTCCTGGCTGAGCCAAGGGAATGGTTGGCACAGGGAACTTACTGCTCTCTTACAAATACCACCACAAACCCTCAGTGGATTCGGAGTTATATTAATGTACATTATTGAGTGACTAGTTCAGTGTTATATGGCAGAGCAATGCTCTGCACTAACAGTTTTAGTGTATTCATTGTAATAGCTTTTGTCCTTTCCCAGCTATCTGGCTGATCTCCTGTTCCAGCCCTGTGTGTGCTGTGCTACTCCTGGGGCTCAGCAGGGTATTTTGACAAGGAAGATTCACTCATCTATTCACTCGTGGACTCAACAAACTACAGGTACATTCAAGTTTGATTACCACTAACATGTGCCACTGCTGGGGAGGGCAGATTCTGGCCCTACAAGAAACCCATGTGCTTATCTTCCACCTAAAGAAAAGTGCTGTTGCAAGTGTTGCTCACTCATACATGTGAAGCACCAGGGTGCTATCTGAGGTGTGCAATGGGCTCCAGCCTGTTTCCAGAGCAGCCCGAGCTGTGTAACTGTTCTTGGTATTTAGTTCAAGTTTCAAATAATGACAGGGTATTAATTAGTGCATTTGCAGAGGATCAGATTCAGCCCAAGTGCATGAAAGAAACCAAACAAAAGTAATCTTTCCAAGCCCCACTTCCCAGGCTCGTACCAGACAACGTTAACAGTTTTATTCCTCCAAAATCTTAATGTCTCCCTGAGGGCAAACTGCAGAAAAACCCTCTTAAGGAGAACACATTGTCCTTGGATTAGCTTAAACAAGACTGCCAGTCAGCCACAGAAATCAAGAAATGATAGTTTTGCTTTGAGATGTGAGCAGGTCCCTGCCCCCCTCCCACTATGGGGAGCACAGTGAGCAGTCAGATGATCCCAGAATGGTTTTTCATGGTTAGACATACTGTCAGGCTGTTATTTTGTAAGTATATTTAGTCTCTTAAAAAAGCCCCAAAGCTATTCTTGTGGGGAAAATAAGGCCTCTCTTAAAAAAGACTGCACCAAGTTTCTGGAGGGCATTTACTCACTCTAAACAGAGCCAAGAAAAGTCTGATCAGAACACTTTGGCCAGGATACAACAGGCAACTCTGCTTAATAGCTGTTAGTTTAACTAAATCACCAGTCAGGAGCAACAGAAGAACCTTTTCCCTTAGCTGCCAGAAGGTGCCATCCCATTCAGAGATGTTTTATAATGACCCACCTACTTGTCTGTCCTTTTGTTATAAATGAGGAAGTCAGAGATGTCGTGCCATGTGTTGCTATCGTCATACAGGTAGGTCATGGAGGACTGCAGGGAGGGCTGCAGGGTGTGCCGGTGATACTCGAAGAGCCACAGAACTGTGCCCCAGATTAGAGCAGCAACAAGTGGAAATGGATCCTGCTTTGGCTGTGGGATATAGCCCTTTTCCACTGCCAGCCGAGACAGGCCAAACAGGATCCGGGACAGAAGGTACATGATGATCTGCATGAGAGAAAACCCAAACAGCATGAGGTAAGCACCCTGAGCAGGACACTGGCCAGGCTGAGTGATGTTGAAGCGATAAGGCTGTTAAGAGGGGTGGAAACAGTTTACCCAGCTTAAAGGCAAACACGTTGTAGGTTCATGTATCAAGCAATCTTTCTAGTAGGAGATGTCTCTGTCCTCCAAATCCTACTTCTCTGCCTGGGCTCTAATTTAGTAATAGACAAGTTGCACTTCATACATCTTTGCAGTTGCACAACTTCTGTCCTTGATCAGTTGTTACCTCAGACGCTGCTGCTGATGTAACAGTCACAGAGCAGCTATGGTCACCTCTCAGGCAGGGACAAACTCAGAAGTGTGGACAGATCCTAAATCCTGGCCTGACTGATCCTCCTGCAGGGCATTGCATAAGTAAAACACTTGATTAAGCTACATCTGTGTGTTTTACTGACTGATAAACCTGTGACTGTGCCAACAACCAGCTTTCAATCAAACATCCCCTGAGCAGCTTTTGTTTAACTACGCTAGTGTAGCTCAGGAACTGACCGTGCTCTGGACCTGCAGCATTCACAGTAAAGGGCTTAGCCTGTGAGTAGGCAGAACAGGAGCACACACAGTTGGTTACCACAACCCAGATGACGGGGGGGGGGGGGGGAACCAACAGCTCTGGATTGTGTGCCTGTCTGCCTTCCTAGGCTTACAAGTGCAGCTCTAGAGGTAAAGCTGGGATTTAGTGCTCACATTGCACACACCTTCCACAGAGACACACAACCACCTCTACAACTGGAGTGTAAAGCAGCCAAAACAAGAACCTGTGTGAAGAGGAATGTGGTAAAAGAGTAACTCTACACTGTAAGAGCCCCTGACGCATGGCAGGCTACAGCAGTCACTTCCTGGCACATGACCATCCATCTCTTGGGGCTTTTGGGCAAGGAAACTTTGAACCAACACATTTACCTGGCTGTTGATGGGGTTGTTGTCACCAAACACGAGCCAACCCCCAATGCAGGCTGCAAAGAAGGAATGAAATGGGATTTTCTTCCCCTGCAGTCGGGACTGCAATGCCATCAGCCCCTTGTAGGTGAACACAAAATATGCCAAGTTCCGGGAATGAGTGTACGTAGCCTGAGCAATCGCCTTCAATTTTTCTCTTAAACTGAAGGAAAGAAACAGACAATTAGGAGGGCACAAAGGCAGGACCACTGCAGCCCCCCAGCCTGGACACTGCCCCTCTGACAGGGACTGACAGCGCGGGCACCCCACAGAACATCTGGTGAGGGAGCAGAAACCCCTTCACCTCTGGCTCATTCATCAGAGTAGAGCCGACTTAGACCATGACTGTGCTGCTGTCTAATTCTATGACTAGAAATACAGCAAATTCATAAAATACATAGGAATTCATCAGAATACAGCTCTTCTTAGACTGTGACGGTGCTTCTGTCCAATTCCATGACTAGTTAAGCAGCCTTTTCTTTGATTACTGCCTAGGTGTAAACTTCTGACATAAGTGAGGAAAACCAAAACATGCACTGCTATGGTTTGGCTTCCCTTATTAGAGCTGACAGCAGATTGTTGCTGTTTGCATCTGCTAATTTCTCTTCTGTCCACTGGTTCTCATCAACCATACTATTAGTGGCTCAATACATGTATTTGGTGTGTATACGAGCTGCCCTGCTTAGCTGTGAGAACAACAGACTAAGAACATGGCTCATGCATCTTTCTGCTATTTAAGCCCTTATGAAGCATGAAAAATTGAAAGTTTGGATGAAAGCATTCTAAGCAGTAATACAAAAGCACAGAACTAGGGTCATACCTTCCACTCTTGAACAGGAAAGTCATCACCAGGGCATGTGGGGCACGAACTTTTGCTCCATAACTGCAAAAGCAAATACATATATCAGCATTTTTGCATTATAGAACCCCAGACTGGTTTGAGTTGAGAGGCTCTTAAAGCTCATCCAGTTCCAACCCCTGCCACGGGCAGGGACACCTTCCACTAGAGCAGCTTGCTCCAAGCCCCTGTGTCCAACCTGGCCTTGAACACTGCCAGGGATGGGGCAGCCACAGCTTCTCTGGGCACCCTGTGCCAGCGCCTCAGCACCCTCACAGGGAAGAGCTTCTGCCTAAGAGCTCATCTCAGTCTCACCTCTGGCAGGTTAAAGCCATTCCCCTTGGCCTGTCCCTACATCCCTTGTCCCAAGCCCCTCTCCAGCTTTCCTGCAGCCCCTTTAGGCACTGGAGCTGCTCTAAGGTCTCCCCTTCAGGAGCCTTCTCTTCTCCAGGCTGACCCAGCCCAGCTCTCTCAGCCTGGCTCCAGAGCAGAGCTGCTCCAGCCCTTGCAGCATCTCCGTGGCCTCCTCTGGCCTCGCTCCAACAGCTCCAGGTCCCTCTTGTGCTGTTGCCCCAGCGCTGGATCAGGGCTGCAGGGGGGGTCTCCCCAGAGCAGCGGGGCAGGATCCCCTCCCTGAGCTGCTGCTCACACTCTGGGGGTGCAGCCTAGCACAAGTTCATGTTCAGTTTTTCACTGACCAGACCGCAATGCTATGATTGTATTTCTATTCCACTGACAGCCAAAGGACGCTACCTAAGCTGTTACATGTCACTTCTGAGGCAGCCCAGACGCAGCACCACTCCCAACCCCAGGCCCTGTGTAGCCACAGGCATACACAGAACACATTCGGGTATACCGGGTCCTTAGGGGACCCCAAAACCATTTGAAACCCCACTTATGTGGAAGGGAGACGGAAACGCTTCTCCCGAACCTCCTCTACAGGAGCACCGGCCTCCTGACAGACGAGGAGAGCGCAAAGCGGCCCTCGAGGCCCTGAGAGAACCGAGACATCCCCCACCGGTCCTGGCACCTTCCCCGCCCCCGCCCCGCCGCACTCACACGGCGCCGTTGCGGAAGCCCTTGATGACGGCGAGCGCGGCGCGATACCGGCGCTGCTGCAGGAGCGCGTTGGCGGCGCGGAGCAGGGCGCGGAGCGGGTCCCCGCCGCCGGCCATGACGGCCCTCCCGCCACCACCGGCCGCCGCTATCACGGCGCGCACGCTTCCGGGAGTGAGGCCCCGCCCGCTGCGCCCATAGGCTGCTTGGGCTGTCCTTCAGCTCCGTTAGCCAATAACCGGTGTACCATTAACCGCTCATTGGTGGAGAGTGTTTGTCAAGCAGCCAATGGGGAATGCGCCAAGCGTCCCGCCCACCCGTCCCGCTGAGGGAAGCGGCGCGGGCGGGTGCGGGCCATGGGGTTGTGTCCTTCCCGCGGCACGGGAGCGCGGCGGTGGCAGCTCCGCGGGGGCTCGCAGGCTCCGCGCCGAGAGCGGGATGGGTGCGGCAGCGGGGCTCGTCCCGCGCGTCCCCCCGGGGCGCTGCCTGCGGCCCCGCTCCGCCGCGGCACAGGTTAAACGCGAGAGTCCCGCCCGGCGTGGCCGCTGCCGCCGCGGTGCCGCCGCCTGAGCACCGGGGCCGCCCCACACACACCCGGCCCCTCCCGCCATTCCCGGTCCCCGTCACGGGCGGAGAGCGCCCCCTTGCGGCGGAGGCGCTCCCGGTGCCCGCTCCGTCTGGCGGGTCGCGGCCGCCGCGGCTCCAAGATGGCGCAGGCGATCTTCGAAGCGCTGGAAGGTAACGGGGCCGCCGGGCCCAGCCGGGCCGCTTCGGGCCGGCACCGGGGATGCGCCTCGCCTTTGCTCACCCCGCGGCCGCCCCGCGCCGCCGCCTCCCCGCGCTGCCTCCGCCGGGCGAGTGGCGGCGGCGGGGCCGCCCCTTGAGGCCTGGCGCGGCGCGGCTCGGGGGTGCTCCCGGCAGCGCGGGGCCGTGCCCCGCTCCCCGCCCGCCCCTCCCCAGCAGCGGCGGCGGCGCGCACCGGCGCGGCCCCGGGGCAGGCGGGCGGCGCGAGCGGCCCCGCGCGGTGGCGGCGGTGGCGGGGCGGGACCGGACCGCAGCGGGCGGCCCCCGCCGGCAGCGCGGGGCTCCCCGCCGGGACCCGCTCTGAGCCAGCCCGGCCTCGTGCCAGGGGCTCCCCATCGCCTCCCATCGCTCCGTGCCCGGCACTCCCTGTCTGTGCCCAGGGAACGGGAGCAGCCCGGGCACCCCCATCCCTCAGCCCCCCGTGCCCTGCATGCTGGGTCCCCCCGTCCTCCCCGCATCCCGGGGCTCCCCGGGTGGGTGCTGGCTCCTGCATGCGTGTGTTGCTGCGGGCAAAGGCGTTGCACTCGGGTTCACCTCAGTTTAGTGTCACGGGCAGGTGCCATCCGAAGGGATGCTAGTGTGTGGCACCCTGACACCGAGCTCAGCGTCAGCCTCTCTGGAGGAAAACTGCTTCACACGGGGTTTATTTCCTAAGCTGGATTACACGGGTATTCCACTTTCTGTGGGGCGACTGCTGACTGGAAGGCCCTGCACTGGGATGGTCACCCTGTGGTTTGCGAACAGCACCTGCCATCACAGCAGAAACAGGAGCAGAGAAGAAATACTTCTGTTTTGTCAGGTTACTCAGTGCATTTGACAGGTCTCTGTGTAGAATCAGGTTCCCTGTTTTCTTCTCAAAGGCATAGAATCCCAGCCTGGTTTGGCCTGGAAGGGACCTTAAAGCTCATCCAGTTCCAACCCCTGACATGGGCACGGACACCTTCCACTAGAGCAGCTTGCTCCAAGCCCCTGTGTCCAACCTGCCCTTGAACACTGCCAGGGATGGGGCAGCCACAGCTTCTCTGGGCACCCTGTGCCAACGCCTCAGCACCCTCACAGGGAAGAGCTTCTGCCTAAGAGCTCATCTCAGTCTCCCCTCTGGCAGGTTAAAGCCATTCCCCTTGGCCTGTCCCTACAGGCCCCCTCCAGGTTTCCTGCAGCCCCTTTAGGCACTGGAGCTGTTCTAAGGTCTCCCCTTCAGGAGCCTTCTCTTCTCCAGGCTGACCCAGCCCAGCTCTCTCAGCCTGGCTCCAGAGCAGAGCTGCATCCAGAGCCTTTGCAGCATCTCCATGGCCTCCTCTGGCCTTGCTCCAGCAGCTCCACGTCCCTCTTGTGCTGTTGCCCCAGAGCTGGATCAGGGCTGCAGGGGGGGTCTCCCCAGAGCAGAGCAGAGGGGCAGGATCCCCTCCCTGAGCTGCTGCTCACGCTCTGGGGGTGCAGCCCAACACACTTGCTCCTCATTGTGTGGGGTCCTTGCAGGATCCAGGAGAACAAAACATTGGAGCAGATGAAGAAAAAAAAGTGTATTTATTCCTTTTCAGCCCACAACTGGTAGCTTTTAGCAGCAGTTTGTGTGTGTTGATGTGACCACAGGTCAGTGGTAACTTGGCAGCTGTGTTCTCAGCAGGTGCTGGAGGCAGAGGTGCCTTTTGCCTGTTACTGAAGCACTCGGAGCTCTGTACATGACACTGCGAGTGTAAGAGGGAAGCAGTGCCTGGTGGAGCGGACACTCTTGTTTCATCTCTGAGAGAAATCTGAAAGGGGAAAACCACAAATCAGTGATCTTGTGCTTTTGTCTTGGCTTCCCAAATCACCCAGTTCTTGACAGGCTCTGGGGAAAGACTCTGCTGCTGCCAGGAGAGATGAGATGACTTTTGCTTTAGGTTTCATGACTGTGAAGAGCATCCTACAGGCTGGTGCTGGCTGCAGTCCATGCAGGATCGATCCAGAGCTTTCTCCTGGACCCCATTGATGGCTGTGAATGGCATCAGTGTATCTCTGCTTGTCTTCATGGGTTACTAAATCCTGGATGTGGTTTCCCTCTGTGTTGAGTGTGGATTGTGCATTTACCCCATGAAGCTGCAGGGACTCGGTGGGCATTGCATGGATTGCCACATGGATAAGGAGCAACAGATTTCTGTGGTCCTGGGCATCTTCTCCAGCAGAAGACTGAATGTAACACTGGCAGCACTGCTGCATTGCTCTTGCCTGTCTTTAGGGCTTGGCTTCTCCTCAAGCTTCTTCCTGCAATCATCTGACTTTAGCACTTGGAAGATGTGGCTGTGTGCCAGAAGGAAACCCAGTTGTCCAGTGCTGGGCACAACAAGAGTGGAATTCTTGATGCAAACTGTTCTTAATTGTTCCCATAATGTACTGAACCTGAACTTTGGACCCCCCCCTTGTCCTTTTGCATCCTGCTAGCTCACTCCTGCTGAGGAGGAGCTGCTCCATTTCACTCTGTGGTTGGGATGTGCCAACAGGAGCCTGCATTGCTGCCTGTGCAGTTGCCAGGAGGTGATCTGTACCAGATGAGGTGCATTTTAGAGCAGGCCTTTGGTTGGGGTGCGAGCAGATGCACTCAGGGGTGTTCCAGCAGCATTGTGCTGTCCTGCAGGGCTGGCTGCAGCTCTGCACCAGCCGAGGCTGCAGAACTGGACCTGCAGCTTTGCTGGGATTTGTGTCAAAGGCTTCTCATAGGCACAGAGGTGGTTTTATGGTGTGGTGTGGTCTGCAGCTGCCTGTGCCCTCTGCTCCCTGCACTGCAGAATGCGGCTCTCCCCTCTCCCAGGGCACGTGCTGTGTTTGCAGCCTGTCGTTAGTGATCAGAAAGGTGTTCCCAGTCTTGATGGTGCTTGCTTCACACTGGAGGTGCAGGAGAAATGACTATTTAGGTTACCTTTAAAATGCTCTGGATTATACAGATACTCCCTGTCAGGAAGGTAACACCCTGCTTGTCCAGGAGAAGTGTTCAGGTGACCAGAGGAACTGCAATGCTGGTTCCTTTATGCTGTGATCTGTTAGGGCACTTCACTGTCCTTCCTGGTGCTGGGTGAGTGACCTCTCATCAGGAATGGTGCTCGCCTCACTGGTTGGAAGTGTTCAGGCTGATTTTCTTTTTACTGTGGCCCATAATTGTGAGTTCAGAGCTTTGCACCTTTGGTTTGCCAAGATCTTGGAGAAATGAAAAGCAACCTAAGAACCCTGCACTTTTTGTCTCTTAATTTGCAAGGTATAACATGCAACCCTGATATGCTCCTTGTTTTATCCATGGGTTCCCTGTCATAAAGAAATGGTAGGGGGGAGTGATGCATAAAACCCACCCTTTTCACCCCATAATCAGGTTCTTCTACGTATCTACATCTGAGTTCTAAAGGAGTGTGCCAGGTTTGACCCATTGGCTCACATGCTGCTGGCAGGGTGATCTCCCTGCATGAGCCCTCCCATTGCCTGCATTTCTCTGCAATACTTTAGAACATTTTAGCTGCAGTGAAAAGCCTTTGTGCCAAAGCGAGTGAGCTGATTCTGCCACCAAATGTGGCTGGGGGAGTGTGTGCTCTGCTGGAGCCCAAGGGAAATGGGAATGAGAGAGAGCAACTGGCACCTCTGCTTGAGAGGAGCTCATGGAGAGCTCTGCTCTTCCGCATGTCCCAGGCTGGGCTGGCAGCCGGTGGCTGAGTGGTTCCCCCCCCACGATCTCTCCCAGGAACCCACACTTTAGTCCTTCCTAAAGCTGTATCTAAATCCTCCTGTATTTGTAGCCCTATGTCTGATCGGATCTGGGAACACTGGTCTAGAAAACTGGGGGACATTTCTAACACTGCTGCTGGGACAGAGTTGCTGCCACCAGAGGTTTTGTCTTCACTGAGCTCAGCTGTGTGTGAGGTGGCCCTGCCCATGGCAGGGGGGGATGGAACTAGATGATCTTAAGGTCCTTTCCAACCCTAACTATTCTGTGATTCTGTGATCACACTCTGTCCCCAGGCAGGTTCTCCCAGGCTGCCCATCTGGCCCATGCATTCCAAATAGCAATTCCTCAGCTCTTTTCATAGCCAGTGCGTGAAAGCATCCTTCCTCTCTGCAGCAGATGTCTGAAAACCGGCCCTCTTCTGGCTTTCCTTGCCCTTCTTCCCTTTTCTTATCGTATCAAAGGAGTGTATGGAGGCAGGTGGGAGTGTTGCTTTAGGATAACAGTGAATGCTGTGGTGTGGAGGGGGCAAGAAGGTGAGAGCGGCTCTGGGAGAAGACAGCAGCAGGCAGTGAGCAGCTTCCCTCCATGGCTTGTGAGTGCTCCATGTTCAGCCTGTGATTTACCATCCATGCTTGTGTCTCCTTGCAGGAATGGATAACCAGACAGTGCTGGCT